TAGAATTCGGGGGTCCTCAAATCCCCGGGCCTCAAACCCAGCTGAAACCGCCCCTCGTCAGAGTACGGTGGGGGTTGCCACACCCAAAGACGTCTAACCCTGTTAGACTTCTGTTCCTTTATTTCTCTGTACCTTTACTTCTTCACACACATATTTCCCAGTATTCTTTTAAATTAATTTACGGACAAGGTGTTACTAGGACTCAGTACACAACTAAAATTTAGCTATTTCCAATGCAGAAGCCACTATCAGACTGAACTCACACACGCACTAACACATCTATATTATTATTTATATTTAAAGTAAATATCTTGCTGTTGTTGTCACTTTTGTTTTGTTGTTAATGTAAGTGGCCTTTACATCAGAGTAATGTAAAAAGAAAAGAGAGCAAGACAACGCGACAAAAATGGAGCTCAGTTGAGTACTCGTAACTAAATATTTCCTTGTATCATGACCAAAATCTTGCTATAGTTGCAGACATGTAACATGGAATACTTATATTCCAGGAAACTCGTATCTTGGGGGTCCACTGTGTATTGAAATTCCCTCCCCACTATTCGAGAAGTAGTCTTACATCCATTGCCCAAACACTTGCACTACTTATTCTTGCATCATGTAACCTTATTTAAAGGTAACTATAATGCAATATCCTGACTTAAAAACCTCAATTCATTCTAGGTTATTTTTACTTAATAAGCAACACACTCCACACTTCCTTATGTAAACATATACTTTTAATAAATACAACAACTGGAAAAATATAAATGCAATATAAAGTAATAACAACAATAAAATGAACTGTAAAAATACATCTTTGTAAGAAAGCATTACCAGTATATGTGCAGCAAACTGTTTGTATGTGAAGTGCATTAACATCTGTCGTGTCAAACAACAGTAACTTACTAACTACTCACTCATCATTTATAGTACGACCACAAACAGTTATAGAAATAAATAGAAAGGTAACATCCAAAGTCTTTCAGTGAGCTTCCCAGTCTGTCAGTCTGTCTTTTTTAATATGATGTCTCATTGTGCCATGTGGTCCACTGTGGTTTTTATTCAGGTTATCGAATAAATGCAGCTCCTTAGACATTAATGTTATTGTTGAGGCTGGTTGAACTGACCCATGAAGAGAAGAGCACCTGGCCGTAGCAAAGAAGACAGTAAAACAGTGAACACATGAGCAGAAGGTTGCAAGGAATGACTAGTGTTTAAGTTTCTAAAAGCTGTGAGTGTTACCTGTGTGTTTGTGCTGAATGAGAAATAGGAACGGCCGGTCAAGTGTGATTTCTTCTACTGCCATACGTGAGAACATGACAGCCGCTATAAATTGAGCAGAGAAAATATAACGTTAGCTGTGGCACTCTTTTCCTTTTGGATTGTCCCCTTTTTTCAGGGGTTGCTACAGTGAATCATTGTTTTCCATTTCACCCTGTTCTCTGCATCTTCTACTCTGACTCCAACTATCTGCACGTCCTCCTTCACTGCATCCATAAATCTTCTCTTTGGCCTTCCTCTTTGTCCTACCTGGTAGCTCCATCTATAGCATTCTTCTACCAATGTATCCACTGTCCCTCCTCCACACATGTCCAAACCATCTCAATATGGTTTCTCTCTCCTCATTCCTGATCCTGTCCATCCTTGTCACTCCTAAAGAGAATCTCAGTGTCTTTAACTCTGTCACCTCCAGCTCCGCCTCCTATCTTCTGCCTATTGCTAGTGTCTCTAAACCATACATCATGGCTGGTCTCACAACGTCCTGTAAACCTTTCCCTTTACCTTAGCTGACACTGTTCTATCACAAATCTCTCCTAACACTTTTCTCCAGCTGTTCCATCCTGCCTGCACTCTATTCTTCCCCTCTCCGCAGTCTCCGCTGCTCTGAACAGTTGATCCTAGATACTTCAACTCCTGCACCTTCACCACCTCTGCTCCTTGTAACCTCACAATTTCACTGTTCTCCCTTTCGTTTACACACATGTATTCTCTTGGTTCTCTTCTAGCTGCTGCATACTCTCACTACAAATCACAATGTCATCTGCAAACAACATAGTCCATGGGGACTCCTGTCTGACCTCATCTGTCAATCTGTCCATCACCACAGTAAACAACAAGGGGCTCAGGGCTGATCCTTGATGTAGTCCCACCTCCACCTTGAAGTCTTCTGTCCTTCCAACAGCACACCTCACCACTGTTGTACTATTCTCATACATGGCCTGCACCAATCTAACATACTTCTCTGCCACTCCCGACTTCCTCATACAAAACCACAATTCCTCCCTTGGCACTTTGTCATATGCCTTTTCTAAATCTACAAATACACAATG